GAGGAAGAACACCCCCTACTGTGCACTGGACTAATCAAATATTTCTCCTAGAAGTACCAGCATTTCCTGGATATTTCCTGTCTCTCTTCTATTTATACTTAGTCTCAGGTCATGGTTGTGACATCTGAATTAAATACTTTCCTCTGACCAGTCCCTCCCTGCTGTTCAGGAACTGACATTCAGCAAGTGTTTACACACCGGGAACGGTTCTTTTTACATTATACAGAATATGATTAGCACTTTTTTAAATGTGCGTCTGAAGTACAGAGGGTGTATTTTAAGAGGAGCATACGTATTATATAATAAATGATGCCACTGGGCAGCTTTATTTTCAGCAACACTACAGGGCACATGAGGGAGCTGTAAGCAATGCATGTATGGATGGAGCTCCCTCGCGGCCATAACCCCAGCCCACCCCACCTCAAGCTGATACTCAGTGCCGGCCAGCATACTTTGAATGGCTGCTTGGTGTCAGTACTGACAGTGCTGCGCTATGGGGGAGGCTGAGGAGCCTCTCACCTTGAAAAGTGGAAGGCATGTGGTGACCCACTGAACACGGGGTCGCGACCCACTTTTGGGTCACGACCCACCAGTTGAGAACCAAGGCTTTATACGTTTATTCATGTGGGTCAGTACAGCTCCGGCTATACTTTCAGCCCTCTGTGGATATGATAGCTGCGGCTCTTATATCCATAGAGATATCTCATATCCACCTCTAGTGTTGTATATACATCCTCCTCTCCCCTTAGATATTCACAGAACGCTGTGTATCCTATGATTGCTTCACAGAATAAACGCCTTTCTATGAATGGCCTAGGGGACAGTAGGGGTGAGAAAATAACCCTACCACTGACGCGTAGAAGAGCTGCATTTCTCATGTTCACAGAGATCGTGTTTTTTCTCCTTCAGTGAAGGAACAATTAATGTAAAGCAAGATACACTTCAAGCTCATTGAAGGAAATTCATCAAAACTGGAGCAGATGAAATCTGGAGCAGATGCTCATGGCAGCCAATCAGCTTCTATCTTTCATTTTCACAGCTTACCTGAAGAGAGAAGCTGATTGGTTGCTATGTCTGCTCCAGTTTTGATAAATGCCCCCCATTGTGTGTAAGGCCCCTTTTACCTAGGGCTCTCCGATCAGGTCCACCTGTCAGTTTTTCAGGCAGATCTGATTGGAAGTCTGATGTTAGTGTGTGGGCGGCCGGCTCTAAATTGACGTGCGCTCGTTTACATCCAGTTACTCCCGGCTCCAGCCAGGTCCAGAAAAAGAAACTCTCGTACGGTCGCGGGATTTCCCGCGATTCTCGTACGAGAATCGTACAGTGTATGGGCACCTTAAGACTTCAGGGGTCTACTCTAAGACTAGAGTAGACAGAATCTGGAGCAGTTGCCCATAGTAACCAATCAGTAGAGATGCACCGATACTGGTTCTTTGGTATCAAGTATTGATATTTTTTTTCTGGTACTCGCTGATACTGAATGCCGGTGCCATGTGCCCAGATTATCAGGAAGTCGGGCGGTGGATCATGACCTGTCACCTAGCTGCCTGTGAAGCCGGTGTTATTTCACTAGAATACTAGTCCACTAGAATTTCCAATCATGATTGGTCAGGAAGCCAGGCTGCCTAGCAACAAGTGGAGCCGGCTTCTTAGCCAATCAGGAAGCACGTCATGAACCGCCTCCTGATTGGCTAGGAAGCCGACGTCACTTGTTGCTAGGCAGCATGCCTTCCTCACCAATCAGGAAGCTGGGTCATGAGTTATGACGTGCTGCCCAGCTTCCAAATTGGTTAGGAAGCCAGGCTGCTTACCAAGCAGTGAAGCTGGCTTCTTAACCCATCAGGAAGCCGGGCGGCGCGTAATGACCCGTTTCCCTGATTGGATAGGAAGCCGGCTTAACTTGTTGCTAGGCAGCCTGCCTACCTGACCAATCAGGAAGCCGGGAGGTCGCTCATTATGTGCCGCCTGACTTCCTGATTGGTTAGGAAGCCAGGCTGCCTAGCAACAAGTAAAGCCGACTTCATAGTCAATCAGGAAGCGGGTCAAAACCCATCACCTGGTTTCCTGATTGGAAAGGAAGCCAACTCCATGATCCCTCGGCACTTGCGGTCAGAGGGAGATCTCCCCCTGACCAGAAGTTCCGGTATCGGAGGTAAATATCGGAGCATTTGTACAAATACTCGCCCAAACACTCGATATCGGCACCGATACTTGGACTGGTGCATCCCTACCAATCAGCTTCTAGCTTTCATTTACAAAGCTTAACTGAGCAAACTGAAGAAGAAAGCTGATTGGTTACTATTGACAACTGCTCCAGTTTGAGTAAATTCCCCCCTGAATTGTGCTTTCTCTCCATCATCCTCACACTGCTCTGTGAGAAGTTTTGGAAACCCTCCCATGGGGTGCACATGTCAGCAGAATCACAGCAGAGCTGAGCCCAGGGATGCCCCATTCCCACAGACCCCCCTCCTTTCTTTGTGTTGTGGATGAGGAGGTGGGGGCGGGGAGGAGTGGCTCAGACACATACATCACTGGGAGGAGGCCGGGGCTCTGTCTGCACCCTCCTCCTGCACTCACTCGTCTCTGATCAGCTTTACTGCCCGAATAACGGAACCCGAGCTGTCGCCATGGGGGTGGAAGGATGCACCAAATGCATTAAATACATGCTGTTTATCTTCAATTTCATCTTCTGGGTGAGTGTCGGGTCACTATGGAGCCGGGGAGGGTGTATGTATGTGTGATCAGGCTGTGTGGATGGATGGCACAGGGGGGTCTTGTTTATGTACCTCGTACAATCATGGATATGGACTGTGGGGTGGTCGGGGTTCTATGTGATGGTCGGTGCAGTGCTGGTTGCGGGGGATGTCAGTGCATTCACATACATACAATGTATACATTATGGACGATCCCGCCTCCTAGAAGAAAACAACAGCTCTGGGGGGGCAGATCCACGTGGTGCAGGAGATAGATCGGGTGTGTGGGGACAGGACTGACCGACCAACAAGTGCTGCCTCCAGCCCCCTGGAAGAATCAGAACCCTCTCACACGGGCTATTCCCAATTAGACGCATACAGAAAGGATTGCCCGCTGGCGACCTGATTGAAGCGGATCTGTTCTTCGTGCAGATCTGTCAGATCGAACGCAAGCAGCTTGCGTCCAGGTTTGATTTTGCAGAATTGGATGCAAATCTGTTCACGTCCAGGGAGACAGATTTCTGATGAGTGTCTATGACAGTATTTATTCATTCCAGGGATGAAGATTGCATCCAGGTCCGATTTTGTGCAACGGCATACAAACCGATGCACATCCATTTACAACCGTTCCCATTCAGTTTGCATCCAGGTGCAATCTTGTGGCACTGATATAAACATGCACATCCATTTACAACCGTTCCCATTCAGTTTGCATCCAGGTGCAATCTTGCGGCACGGATATAAACAGATGCACATCCATTTACAACCTGTCCTGTTCAGTTTGCATCCAGGTCCGATTTTGCAGAACAGATGCACATCCATTTACATCCGGGTCCATTCAGGTTTGGTGGACCAAACTCGCAAAGTTTCCATCCAGGTCCAATTTTGTGAGACTTCACATCCCTCCACATGCGGCCGCCCATAGGGATCACACGTGTCAGTTTTTCTCCATCACAAGATGATGGGAATATGGACCAGACATGGCAGTCTCATACCTGACATCTGTGTTCCTTCTGATTCCAAGCAGAAGAGGATCCATCTCTGTGTCTGTGATGGAATGGAGACGCCCGTGTGAAAGGGGCCTGAGCCTGAATCCTGCACATTACATGTGAATGGTACTCACAGTTGAACACAAACCCATTGCTGGTACTTTGCCTTCACATACACTTTAAATTCAGAGGAGAAAAGTCCTTGCTGTGTAAATTACAGAACTGGATGGATAAAGATACAAATCCTTACACAGATAAAAGAGCCTCCTATGTGTATTCTGAAGGATCTGCTGGCCTGAAGTTCAGCTTTACATCTTACTTGTTCTTTTTAGCTTTGGATAGAGTAGAGAAGAGTTAAGCTGGCCATACACTGACAGGGTTATTCACAAAAGGGTGAAGGGTTTGGAGAAGGCAGGAGAGGTGAACAACCCAGGCCAAAATAGCTGATTTGGAAAAATTCTCCAATTCACCTTCCAGTTCAGCTATGTTGTCCTAGAGCAGGGGTGTCCACAATTTTTTGTGTTAAGATCTACTTTTTAATTGACGAGCTACATGAGATCTACCAACGAAAAAAACCCTCCCTGGCTCTCCTGGCTGTCTTTCCTTGCTCATCCTCTTGGCTGTCTTTCCTCTCTCTCTCTCCTGGCTGTCTCTCCTTGCTCTCTCTCCTGGCTGTCCTTGCTCTCTCTCTCCTGGCTGTCTCTCCTTGCTCTCTCTCCTGGCTGTCTCTCCTTGCTCTCATGGCTGTCTCTCCTTTCTCTCTCTACTGGCAGTCTCTCCTTGCTCTCTCTCTCCTGACTGTTATGTTACCAAATCACCAGCTTTATAAAAACAAAATCACAATATCACATTTAAAAAAGAATGCATTTGCTTTCTCTTTTATTATTATTATACAGAATTTATATAGCCCAAGCAGTTTGCTTTTAAACTTTTTTTTGTTTTATTTAGTGTAGGGAAAGGATAACCCCTAGCAAATAGTTTTTTGCTGCCTCTGTCCCTCTGGGACAGAGGACTAATTCGTCTAATAGGACTATTCGTCTAATAGGGTGACAACACAGTACGCGGCTGTATGCCGCCCTATGCTCACCCCAAGTGCAGGTCCGTGCGGGTGTCCGTACTCGTACGCTCAAAGGATGGATCCTGTCCGTGTCCAAGCGGGGATACCCGCATACACACGGAGCTGTATGTGGCCGAATGGTCATAACTTCTGTCAGGGTTTTATTGCTGTCCATGTCTTCAACGGGGACCCAGACAACCTATAGCACTTGTTCACACTAGCTTGTGTGCTAAAATGTGTGCGGGCGCAGGTTCATTGTTTAGGGGTAGACAGGTGGACATTGTTACATGGTAAGACACTGTTTACATTTTTTTTCAACTTTATTGAAATTATACAAAATTACATTTCATTCACTTCTACACACCACAGCTATTCTTTAGTGCTGTGACATGAGGTGCAGTGTGTTGAGGAAAAAATGCGTGTCTGCGTTTTTACGCAGCACATCACAACCCATCTCAATAGAACGTTATGGCGGGAACAGGGTACAATTGTTTTCTGTGTGGCCTGACATTGAGCCTGCATTGATTTTTGCAGCTCAACTGATGTGGTGTGAACGAATCCTTGACGTCTGAAGGGTCCACAGCATATCCCAAAAATGTTTTTAAAAAGTTTTGTATGGATCTGCGCTTTTTATATTTATTTTATGAGTGCATAACTGCATTATTAGCTTTAAAGAGATATAATTTTTCGGTTTAATAAGTCATTGTAGTGAGTTCTTTGTTCAAGACACCTGATGTCAGGAACTCCAGCTCAACGTTCACTCTAGATGAGTCTTTCTCAGCCTTTTTAGCACGGAGGAACCCTTGAAATAACTTTCAGCTCTCTGAGAACCCCTGCTAATAATTTGTTATATATACAGTTCATGAGACATTGGCATTAAGAGTGAGAAATGTTGATTATAAGAATAAATAAAAGAATAAGGAATTTGGCATATTTGACACCCAGCCTGCTCCATATTATTTTCAGTAATAATGAAATAATGCACAGAAAAGAAACACAGTGAAAATTGTGGTGCTTCATCACATTGGTGGTCAGTGGGAAAGTTACCGCTTACACTGGTGGTCAGTGAAGGCCCCTAGTTCATTGGTGATCAGTGAGAAGATCTCTCCTTACTTTGGTGGTCAGTAAAGGGCCCTAGTACAGTGGAGGTTAGTAGGAAGCACTCTCCTTACGTTGGTGGTCAGTGATGGCCATAGTACATTGCTGGTCAGTGATGGCCATAGTACATTGGTGGTCAGTAAAAAGAGCTCTCCTTACATTGATGGTCAGTGAGAAGATCTCTCCTTACATTGATGGTCAGTGAGAAGATCTCTCCTTACTTTGGTGGTCAGTGAGAAGATCTCTCCTTACTTTGGTGGTCAGTGAAGGGCCCTAGTACAGTGGAGGTTAGTAGGAAGCACTCTCCACGTTGGTGGTCAGTGATGGCCACAGTACATTGGTGGTCAGTGATGGCCATAGTACATTGGTGGTCAGTAAAAAAATCTATCCTTACATTGATGGTCAGTGAGAAGATCTCTCCTTACATTGATGGTCAGTGAGAAGATCTCTGCTTACATTGGAGGTCAGTGTGAAGAATGTTCCCCTTACATTGATGGCCAGTGAGAAGATCTCTCCTTACATTGGAGGTCAGTGAAGGGCCATAATATGGTGATGGTCAGTGAGAAGGACTCTCCTTACAGTGATGGTTATTGAAGTACCATAGTAAAATGGTGGTCTGTAAGAAGAACTCTTCTTACATTGGTTGTCAGTGGGAAGATTGTTCCCCTTACGTTGATGGTCAGTGGGAAGGATGTTCCCCTTATGTTGATGGTCAGTGGGAAGATTGTTCCCCTTACGTTGATGGTCAGTGGGAAGGATGTTCCCCTTATGTTGATGGTCAGTGGGAAGATTGTTCCCCTTACGTTGATGGTCAGTGGGAAGGATGTTCCCCTTACGTTGATGGTCAGTAGGAAGGATGTTCCCCTTACGTTGATGGTCAGTGGGAAGGATGTTCCCCTTATGTTGATGGTCAGTGGGAAGGATGTTCCCCTTATGTTGATGGTCAATAGAAAGGATGCACCCTTTACACACGCCTCAAAAGATCGTTGCTGTCAGTGGTTACTTATCTGAGAGGAAGAAATCGTTTCTTGGTCAAGAAACTCCTCGCAGCTTCTGGAAGAAAGCTAAAATTCCACACAACCCTGGTTGAGAACATCTGCTGTAGACAAACTTCTGATAAAGTTTTGCTAGACGAGGTGAAACATTTTGAGAATATTTGGGTGTGCCTTTCACCTCGTATAGTACAGGCGGCTGTTCCTACACAAGTGAGAGCAGTTGTATGACATCATGGAATGGCATCGCTATGGAATGTATGGAGGGATACAGCAGAAGAAGTGACACCTGTTTTTCATCTAGGAGTTGAGAGGCGAGGCAAATGTACTGAGTACTAGTTATTAGCCCTCACTCCTTCGTTTGCTGGCAAATGGAATTATCCGATTAACCGATTAATCGAACTTAATAATCGGCTAACTAATCGATTTTGAAAATAATCGTTAGCTGCAGCTCTAGAACTCAAGGCATGCTAAAACCTGTAGTCCCTAAACCATTTTAGTTACATTGTCTTTATTTACAGGGTTTTAACATAGTGGTGGTTATATTATTAAAGTAGCCCGTTGATGGTGAATCCTTTCACATAATTTGTAGGCTTTTAATTCTCTTGAATATATGTGCACGGCAGAGTTATCCCATATGCTTGCAGTTCTTGAATCCAGGCGATGAGGATTTATGAACTATTCATGGCAGGATGGACAAAGTAAAAAGCCATGGTCTGCCAGTAAAAATACGTTTGGCCAGATCCATCCAGTTTGTGAATTGATTTACTAATCAATCAAATGTGAACCTTGGAGAGGTTCTATTATGAAGATGAGCACAGCTCTTGGTACAGAGAATAATTTGCTATTGGTGCCTGCTGTGCT